TATAATGTTGCATTTTTGTTTCTTTGTTCTGATTATTTACTCACTTAGTAAATATTATTGAGTGTTGCATGCTAAGTATTGGAGCTGTCTTCATGAATAAAGAGGGTGAGTTGTCTTCACTTGTGGACTTGGAGATTTTGTATATGTGAGTGCTGTGTGTGGGGGCAGCCAAGAATGAGCACAGTTGCCCTTGGTCTCACAACAGAGGGTTAGTGCAATCTTGGTGGGGTTTTGGAGGTGGTGTTGTGTTTTTTGAGATACACCTTGATATCCTCTGGGCTTACTCCTGCGTCAGTGCTCTGAGATTCAGTCTGGAAGACTTCTGTGGCCATATAGGGTGCTTGGGATAGACTTGGGTTGAGCACATACATGCAAGGCAAGCACCTTACCTGCTGTACTATCTCTCTGACCCCAGTGCAGTCTTTGAAAGTAATTGGAAGAGTGCTGGTGGAACATAGGGCTGAATCATGTAGACAACAGGGAGCTTAATCACAACTTCTTGGAAGAAATGGTAACCAAGTGGACACTTTGAGGTAGACACATGGGCTATAGGAGGTAGAGCATATGTAATAATAACGTAAGAAGGAAAAACTATTTGTAATTGTGGTAATTCCTTTCTCTCCCATCAGGAAGTGCAGACCTCTTTGTATTGACTGTATATTCAATTTGGACATATTGAAGTTGCAGGGGGGCTGGAGCGATAGCACAGCGGTAGGGTGTTTGCCTTACAAGCAGCCAACATGGCCGACCCGAGTTCGATTCCTCTGCCCCTCGTTCCTCTCGGAGAGTCCGGCAAGCTACCGAGAGTATCTTGCCAGCACGGCAAAGCCTGGCAAGCTACCCATGACGTATTTGATATGCCAAACACAGTAACAACAAAGTCTCCAGTGGAGACGTTACTGGGCCTGCTCGAGCAAATCAATGAACAACGGGAGGACCGTGACCGTGACCGTGAAGTTGCAGGGAAGGCAAACATGAAAGGAAGAATGAATGACTGGGGATGCTGGTTACAAGTATGGAACTAGATTGTCCTGTCTATGTGGCTACATAGAAAAATTGGGACTTCACCTGGAGGCATGTAGGACACATGGAGGGATCTAATGAACAAGGTGATATTGAGATGCTCCCCAAAGTGACTCCCGTCCCATTCTGATTAGTTGGGTCTTCTTATATTCTCTTTTATAGGCCAAGATGATCTCTTTATGTGAGGCCTGAATGTCCCATTGTATTAATTGATCAACAACAAATTTAAGTATCATTCAGAACCCAAAGTCAACTGTCTTCTGCTCTCCCATCTCTGAGCTTTAATTATATGCCTGAATTTTAGAACAATGCAAAGCTTGCATGATTCCCCATTGCCAAGTCTAGTCTGTTGGATTCTTATGTTATATACTTCTCTATAAATTTGTGGTCATTCATTTGATGAAACTTAAAACTTGCTTTTCCTACTTTACGTCATCATTGAAAATTCACATTGAGAATTGTTGTTGATCAATTAATACAATGGGACATTCAGGCCTCACATAAAGAGATCATCTTGGTGTATAAAATAGAATATAAGAAGATCCAACTAATCAGAATGGGATGGGAGTCACTTTGGGGAGCATCTCAATATCACCTTGTTCATTAGATCCCTCCATGTGTCTTACATTGCCTCCAGGTGAAGTCCCAATTGAGAATTTCACTGCATCTTTAACTTGGGAGGAGTAAGGAATGCTGAAAAAGATTTGGCCATAAAGAAGGAAAAGGCAGACATGGGGATATGTCCCTGTGTCAGAGTCAAAGTCTGGTGGTTGGCACAGGGAAGAGGGACGCACACTTCCCATGAGAAGAGAGGAATGAGTCATGGTTTACAACCTGAAGAAAAAAATTAAATTTATTTTTTGTGTTGAGGTCACATCCATCAGTGCTGGGCATGGAGGGAGAAAGGAGAGAGAGGGAGAGAGTGAAGGAGAGAGGGAGAGAGAGAGACAGAGACAGAGAGACAGACAGAAAGACAGACAGAGACAGGCAGAGAGACAGAGAGATTTAGGTGAGAGTGTCTTGTACATATACACCCAAATACTTGCTTCACAGGGTCATTTCTTTTTTTCTTCACAACATATTCATGAGAGAGGTGTAGTTATAATCTCCATTTCTCCAACATGAACCAAAATGCTTCAATAACTGTGATATCTTATCGAGGTCATCCAGATAGTGGGTGGCAATTATAGGATTTGAATCTAGATCTGCCTCAATGACCTGAGCTCTACTGATCTTTTGTCATGCAAATCAGAACAGGTGAGTCCTTCAGGAAGGAGAAGGAAAGCCTACAGAGACTGAGACCTCCTGTCTCCCTGTGGCAGTATCTCACACTTTAAGGGATCTCAGTTCTTTGTCCATCTCCTCACTCATTGTGAGGAACATCTCCAGAGCTGCCTGGGTCCTCCCCTTTCCTGCTAAGAGTTTTCCTGTTTCCCAGAGCTTTGCAGAAAGGACTAGATATTTTGGGAATAGAGGAGGGTAGTTGAATGCCCCCTTAACTCTGAATTCTATTAGTGGGAAAGAGTGAAAGCAAATGGCAGAAGGAAATTCCATCTGGCCAATGATGATGAGGAATGCATACTTTTCATCCTTGGACTCTAGATATCTGATTAAGTAGGGATGAAAGAGAATGATTTATAAGACCATTGCACTTATGACTGGTGGTGAACAGATCTTCAGTTGTAAATTGATATGGCCACCCCACATCACTGATTTACAAAGTCACATTCTAAGGGACATCCATAACAATGCCAAAACTGAATGATTCCCAACCAGAGCAGCTGGGCGCCTGGAAGCAGTCCCACATGTGGGGCGCCCTGGGTGTCCCCCTGGAGAGGAGCATAGAGTAGCTGGGTGAGCATGCACAGCCAATGGGCCTCCTTGGCACAGCTGCCTGGTGCGCAGTGTTCCCTCACACAGACAGCGGAACCCAGCTCCCTTTGGTGTTACAGACCAGATTGCTCAGCATAGCTTTATATTGATGCAGTCAAGGGAAATTAGTCAACTGCAAGCTTGGATGATGCCACTAACAAGCTGGCAAGGGTTCAGAAGAGCAGATTCCTCCACTGTGGCCACAGCACACAGTGACGGCAGCCTGGTTTTGATTACTGTACATGTTCCTCCCTGATGAGGGCAAGAACTTCTTGCTCTTCTTTCTTTAAAAGCCCCCTCTGCAGAATCTCCCTCCCCCACAACAGTTTCAGGTTTATTGCCTCACTGAATCCTGAGGGTTATCCCAGAAGGTAAATAGGAGATAATGAACACCTTCTTGGGCACAAAAATTTGGGATCAGAGGGGTTTAGAGATTTCCCCAAGATCACACAGTGATTGGTTAGCAGAGACAGGAGTTGGAGCCAAGCTTTCTGACTCCAGCTTAGACTGTACAAACCCAGAAGAATAGAGAATGTGCATTTGGTACAATGAAGATTTTGAAATATTCTTAGAAGGTGGAGGGATTAGAGGGAAAAGACCAAAGTTGGAATCTCAGGAAAGTTTGGGGCTGAAAGCTACAGTAACCATCAAATAAAGATTGAATCAGCATAGAGGCTTCAAATAATGTCATGAATTATGTCATGAAATAATGTCATGGAATTAACCCAGAAGACATCAGCTACAGTGGTCCCATGATTCAACAGTGTCATTAAAGATACACACAGGCTTTGCATTTATTTCTATATCTTCCTTTAGCTTTATTCTTAATCTTCATTCTTAATCTTATTACTTTATAGTTGCAAAGTGGTTGCCTCAATTCTCCCATAGCATTTCAAGTGGGGAGGGATAACGGGAAGGAGGGGAAAGAGTGAGGGTGGCAGGGAGGGAGGGAGAGAAGGAGGGAGGGAGGGAGAAAAGGAGGGAGGAAGGAAGGGAGGGAGGGAGGGAGGAAGGAAGGAAGGAAAGAAGGAAGGAAGGAAGGAAGGAAGGAAGGAAGGAAGGAAGGAAGGAAGGAAGGAAAGAAGGAAGGAAGGAAGGTCACTTGGAAGTGTCCAGGAAATGCTTCCTTATATTTCATTGGATATTTTTGTAAATGGGCCACTTAATCATATCAAGCTTCAAGAAAGGTTATAAAATCATGTGCCCAGCAGAGAAGAGTCAGAGAACTATGACTAGGCTTCAGATCTTAGAATTTGGCATAGTATCACCCTGAATCAAATCAGTCAACAAGAGAGGGTCTGGAGGTGGCTGTTTTCAGCAACTGTCTATGCTAAACCAGTATGGACTGAGAACTTAGATGAGTTCTTATTTCTTATTTTACTTTTAATATTTTTTGTTTTTTGGTCACTTGTGGCTGTGCTCCTGTAAGCTCCAGGGCCTACTACTGGCTCTGTGCTCAGAATTTACTACTGGCAGTATCATGAGTGCTGGGATTAAATTGGGCTTTGCTCTGTGCAATCTCTCCAATCCCTTTAGGAAAATTCTTCAAGTTGAACTCTGCAAATGCTTCCTGGATTCTGAATGATATATCACACTTTCATCACACTCCCATTTGTCAATGGCTAATTTCAGAGTTGTATGGATGTATTTGTTCTCCATGCTTTATCAGAGGAGACCTAAGCTCTAAGGCAATTGGGGTATAACTTCTAGAATGCATTTGTATGTCCTAGAACAAAGAAGGTTAAAGAAGGTACAAAGTCAGATTGTGGGCCTGGGTGCCAGAGAGAAGAATTTGGGAATGTGGAAGTCCTTATATTGATTTAGTGAGGTCATACCACCTAGGTTTGAATCCAAATTTCTCTTTTCTCTGAGTTCTGGGTAACTGAGGGTCAGCTGGTCACCCATGTAGTGCCTTAGTTTCCGATTATAAATTGGAAATACCATAGGAGTATTTTAGGTTGGAAATGCACTAAAAGGCTCAGATATTCTGGGAATGGAGTCTAGCCTGGGCTGAACTAGAGTAAGTATTCACATATCCTAAAATTAATCAGTACTCTCAGATACTAAAATAAGTGTTTTTCTTGACTGTTTCTTCCTTCTTGCAGTACAACAAGGAGCTTCACTATGTGGAACCTTGCCTGAATGGAACACTGGTGCAAGCGGACAGGACCAACAAGGAGGTAGGATATGCTTCTAGGTGATGCACCAGGGTCAGGACCCAGACCTGCCTTCCTTACAACTTACAATGATTCTACCTCATTTTCAGATGCAAACAAAGTATGCTTCCCTTTTATTGAGGCCCTGAGAACCCCAAGATATAGAACATTTATGAATACATACAATTATGGCAGTAAAGTATATTTTTCTGTGTTTGTATTTATAGCAGTGAAAAATAATGATGGCAGAGAGATAATCTCTAAAACATTGCATTATTTTTTTTTGTCCTGCCCTAAGTATCTTATTTTTGTGCTCAATATCTATTTCAATGTTGGCACCATTGAAAGACTATGCTCATGTTGAGATATCCTGGACAATTGAATCCACTTATTATCTCTCCTGTTGTATTTAAACAATTGTTAAATATTTATTGAGAAAATTTTTTGTTTCTGTCTCTACTATGGATAATGCCATCCTCCAAATGCCTGAACTTGATGAGTTTCCCATAGACTGTTTCCATTGAATAAATTATTGTGATTGAACTGGCTTTGGGGAATCTTTGTGGGGAGAAACCCAAGGGTATTCAGGTGGCCCAAAACTCCTCCAGTGATTCTCAACCAGCTGGGTCTGTGGTTCAACACAAAAGTCAGAGATGTAGTGATGCTTTGACCCTATGCTCCCAGATATTACCCAGGGTACCTCAGCACTGCTAGAGTGGCCTCCAGAGTGTACCTCTGTACAATCTGTTGACCTCCTGTTGATCTTATAACCATGGTGTCCTTCAGTGATAATCATCAAAAATAAATTTCAAAAACTAGAGGTTTACCAACTGGCCATTTATTTTAAGAATTCAGCCTACATAAAATGAAGGAATCTTTCCCAGGGAAGCTTAGGTCTTACTCATCTTGTAAATGGCAATATATTTGTTTGAGTGGATGCCTTGGCATTAAAACTTCAGTCAGACACCTGCGTTATAAAAGAGAAAAATCAACCCTTAGAGTTTACTCTTTGGGTAGCCACCGCTATAAGTTATTTTGTGGGTTGAAAGCAAATTTTACAAGGATTAAGAAAATGTTTAATTACTTCTGTGTTCTGAAATATTGTAAGCATTTCCTGCCCCATAAATATAGTGTAACAAAAGAAAAATATGTTAAAGCAAGAGTTTAGAAAATAGGGTAACAGTTTCCAGTGAAAATTCTAGGAAATTTTCCTATTTCCCTATATGTATTTTCATAAAAATATATGGTTTCACTTTTTTACCCCTTAATTTGTTATTATAGTCACAGCAGCCACCATCAAATCTGAAAATAATCTATATTCTGCAAGATGGAGAAAAGTTGAACCCCCTAGACAAAAAGGGTACTGAAACTTTGTTTCCATATTGATACCCAGATATCAGAGATAGAGCACTACAGAGTCTCCAGTTTGGACAAACAATAGGCACAGACAACAAAAGATTCCAAGAAAGCCTCTTTCTAAAAAGCCAAAGAACCAAATGCAGGGTGGTCTAACAAAGTTTTTGTGCCTATCTTACCTCATCCGGTCAAACACTGATGAAGCTACCATACATTTGTGTTCTATACTTTCAGTGAGGCAAGCAAAAGGGTGATCTTTTGCCCATACCCTTTTGGCTCTTAGGCTTGACCGGAAAAGAGAGACTACTAATTTAAAAAAAGATAAAATGGGATCTAGACTTTGATAATATAAAATCTGAATGTCCACAATGCAATTAAAAATCCCTTGTCATTCTAAGAATCAGAGAAATCAAAATATGAATGAGAAAGTACAAATCAACAGAAGCCAATATTGACCTGAATCAGAAGCTGAAATTAAAAATTGTTCCAGTAATCAGTTAGCAATTGTTCTGGACAAATGAGAGCATTTTTAAATCTCAGCAAAGAAATAGAGGTAATACAAGACAGTCAAATGGAAATTATGGAATTGAAAAATACAGCAAAATTAAAAAGTTCATTGAGTCGGATTAATAGAGCTATGTACCAAATAATGATTTATTTTGGTTAATCATGGAATGTCTATATAATAAATGATGTTTCCTACATCAAACCTAGGTGTGTAGTAGGCTTTATCCTAGCTTTTTAAACTATAACTTTTATGACTATGTTTTAAAATATATTCTTTATGATTTATTTTCAGTTAATGTTTGCTTTTCATGCACATTACACATACCTAGAATAGGGTTGTATAAAAATTTCTCAGGTGAAAAGAGGTTTAAGCTAAGAATTTTAACAATTCCTGGGTTTGAGCGGGATGATAGTACAGTAGGTGGGCACTTGCCTTGAAAGTGACCAACCCAGGTTCCATCCCTGCAAACCACATATGGTCTCCCAAAGCCTACTAGGAATGATCTCTGAGAACAAAGTGAAGAGTAAGCCCTGAGCACAACACAAAAGCAAAAACAAAAATAAAGGAAGCCTTGGGTTATACCATCTAAGTTTGTAAGAGTACACTCTATGAAAAAAATTCACCTAAGGACACATTTCTCAGAACATATTCCAACTGTTAAGCAATGAATAATTACAGTAGAATGTAGATGACAACAGATAAAGTCAGTAAACTTCAGGGAATATCAATAACAATTGCCCAAACTGAAAAACAGAAATAAAACAGACTGGAGCAGAATGCAAAGATCCAAAGGGATATGTGGAACAATAACAAAAGAGTTATCTTAAAGCCGTCAAGAGAAGAAAGATAATATAACTGGCTAGAAATTTGAAGATGTATTGGCTAAAAATTTTCCCAAACTGGTGAAAAGCATGAACATATTCAAGAGGCTAAGAAAATTTCAAATAGGCTAAACAAAAGTAAATATATGCCATGACAGATCAGCATTAAACATAATCATGCAAGAAAAAACTGGAAAACATCCAGAAATAAAGTACACATTATTTATTATCAATTTGAATAATAGCTGATTTTGATAATGTCGTAGCATTTTTTAAATAGTAAAATTAAAAAAAAACTTGTCTACCCAGGATTCTATATGTAATGAAAAATATCTTCCTTGAATGAAGGGAAAATAAAGACATTTTAGGATATGTGCTGCTGAAGAAAGCACAAAATAAAGACATTTTCAAATGAAGGAAAACTGGGAATTTGTAGACAGCAAGCTTACTCTAAAAGAATGACTAGTGAAATTCTCTAAATGAAAGAGAAATAACATCAAATTCTGGAATTTAAGAAAGAAAAGACTAGTTGTATAAGGGGCAAGTAATAGATTATTCTAATTCTCTTGATTTAACAATCAAGGAGATTGTTAAATCATTTAATAGTTGAAGCATAATTTCCTCTGATGTGATTTGTTTCCAGATCTGGCTGAGAAAGTACTTAAGACAATTATCTTTTATAATAATGTAGGGTAAAGGAACCTAATTAGAAGTAAGGTTTCTACAGTTCACTGAAAGCAATGAATGCAGATATTAATATACTGTAATAATTATATATTTAAAGTTATGTTATATGATATACACTATATTACATAAAGTATAATATATGAAATATGTGATATATGTAAAACTACATAATATAATATATCAGAAAATTGTATATTTATAATACCTAAAGAATCGTTAAAACAAACAATAAAAAGGGATATGTCTAATTAATAATTTATAAAAATGTGAGAAAAGATAAATAGGAATTAAAATCAAATATAGAGGAAATGAATGGAAAAGGGAGCTGAAGTGGCAGACTACCATACCATTAATGATATAAAGTAAATTTTTTAAGCACACCAATGAAAAGATAGAGATTGGCCAAGGACTTAAAAGAAATGATCTGATCATATGCTGACTTTAAGAAATTTACTAGAAATATAGTAGTATAGAACCTACATAGTATGGTTCCAACATACCTATATGTTGGAAAATATCTTAATATCAGGTCATCTTCAGATCAAAGAAATTTGGTGGGGGGCACAAAAGGATAATGCATAATGGTAAAAGGGCCAGTGCTTGAGGAAGATATAATGTTAAATGCATCTGGACCAAACTGTTGTGTATCAAATTCATGAGGTAAAAATCTAGTAAAGTTGATTATAAAAGAAGATAAGCTTACAGTCGTAGTTAGGTGCTTGGACACATCACACTCAGCAATTGGTGCATTTCTTAATAGGTCAACAAGGATATAGAAGAACTAAATATCATCAGCCAATTATATAGTACCAATGTGATATTAACCAAGGCAAAACATATCCTGCAAACCTCAACAAATTTAAAGTACTTGAAATCATAGAGTGCCCATTCTGATATTCCTCATATTAATGGAGTCAAACTAGAAATAAATGGCAATGAGAAAAAAAAATTCCACTTAGAAATGAAGTAAATTTGAACAAGAAAGATAATACAGGGGTTAAGTTATGTATCTTGCAGGCAGCTGACCGATTTGAAACCTAGTAATACAGGGTCCCCTGAAGTTTGCTGGGTGAAGTCCTGGAGACCTCTGGGTACTGCCAGGTGTAGTTCTGAAGGTCTCCCTTCACCCCCAGAAACACTGGGGTACTCAGGTAATCCTTGGCACTGCAGATCTCTCATAGTAGCTCAGCCTTGGGCCTTTGCATTGAAAGGCCGAGTTGATCAAGAATCACAGGAAGGCCCCTCATCCAGGCCTCACAAGCATTGCTTGGAAGATCACTTCACCTTAACAATAAATGAAATAAAATATTAGATAGATAATATATAAATAAAGGGAAAGACTTGGTGGAAATGAAACTATATAAACTGAAAAATAAAAAATATGAATAAAATGATCAATAGCACAGCGGGTAGGGTGTTGCCTTGCAAGCGACCAACCTGGCTGACGGGAGTTCGAATCCTCCCCCTCTCTTGGAGAGTGTGGCAAGCTACCCAGAGTATCTTGCCCACATGGCAAAGCCTGGCAAGCTACCAGTGACGTATTTGATATGCCAAACAACAAGTCTCACAATGAAGACGTTACTGGGCCTGCTCGAGCAAATCAGTGACAGTGATAGATGCATGGCACAAATAGGTAGTAAGAAGGGAAATTA